AAAAGAAAAGTAAACCAATAGAATAGAATAGAATAGAATAGTTAATCAGATACCATTTAGTACAGGTTAAAGAGTCACTTCAAAAGAGTAGAGAACAATGGACTAGTTAATAAATGCTGCTGAAACAACTGGCTGTCCACTGTCCCATCTGAAACCATTTACAAATACTTTAAACCTAGATGGATCAAAGAGCAATTAAAATAAAATATGGGTGAATATGTGCTATGAAGTTGATATAAAGAAAATCACCTTAAAAACACAAAAAATAAAAGCTATGAAGGAAAAGTAGAATAAATACAAAACATAAAACTTTTATAAAGACACCATTAAGAAAGTTAAAAGACAATTCACAGACTGAAAGATGTTTGTAACATAAATAACAGGAAGAATTAGTTATTCATTATATATTTATATTTTTATATATATATAATTTAAATGAACAACATCCCAAAAGAAAAATAGGTTAATTATATAAACAAGCAATCCATAGAATAGAAATATCCAATTAATATGTGGATATATATAAATTATAACTACTATGTAATGTAATTTTTAGTCAAGTGATAAAAACGTAAGACTTGAAAATATCAAGTGTTGGTGAGGGTATGGATTAACAGATGCTCCTATATGCTGCAAACCAGAGCATAAATTGATATTGACATTTTGAGGACTATTTGATGGTATTAACTAAAGCAAAAATGGGCACACATTATGATTCCATTTCTAGGAATACACCCTAAAGAAACATTCACATATGGCTACTCACTGAAGCATTATTTGTAATTGTGAAAAATATAAAAAATTCAAATGTCTACCAGCAGGGAAATAAACTATAATATCCAGGCATGTCAGGAGCTTAAAAAAATATGGTAAATCTACGCAGGACTCAGAGGCTCAAGCCTGTAATCCCAGCACTTTGGGAGGCTGAGGCGAGAAGATTGCCTGATCCAAGGGGTTTGAGACCAGGCTGGGCAACTTGGTAAGACCTTGCCTCTACAATATATCAAAAAATTAGCTGGGCGTGGTAGTACATGCCCCATAGTTCCAGCTACTTGGAAGGCTGAGGCGGAAGGATCGCCAGAGCCCAGGAGGTCAACACTGGGGTGGCCATGAGCATGCTACTGCACTCCTGCCTGGGCGAAAGAGTGAGACTCTGACTCAAAAAAATATATATGGTAAATCTTTACATAATGACATACATTGAAGGATAGCCAAGTAATTTTCTCAAGTTTAAAAAAGTTTCAGAAAAATACAGAGTAATGTTCTAAAGCATAGTCATTCTGTATACCTCTAAAAGTACATGTATGTATGTAAAAGCACGGAGAAAGGTATGGGAGGTAACCACCAAACTGGTAATAGTTAACTCTGGGTGGGAGGACTGTGTTGGGATAAGGGACAGTCAAGGGGGTTTTAGTTTTATATAAAGCTAAAATTCTGTTTGAACTTTTAAAAATGAGTATATTCACTTATTACTTATATAATTTTAAAACAAATAATATAAAATAATTATGACAAAATCATAAATTCTATAATTAGGGGTATGGACAAAGTCCTCTGTGAACATAATAAAAGAAGAAACTAGTTTAGCATGCAGAAAGATTTTTATAGCAGTAGTGACATTTTCATCAGGTCTTGCTTTTTGAATAAGATTTTGTCAAGCATTTATAATTTGAGGGAAGATTGTGGCAGATATTTTCCAAAGATGACTGTACCAACATATATCCCATCCAATATGCTTTGCTTTCGATATGACATTGACACTCCTCCATGGAGAGGCAGGGGGTCTATGTCCTCACCCCCTTGAACTTGGGCAGGATTTTGTGATTGCCTTGATGAACAGAATGAGGAGAAGTATTACAGCATGACTTCTGAGATTATTCGGCTTCTGCCTGGTCCTTTCTTTCACAAAATGCTCACCCTTGGAAGCCAGTCATCATGCAGTGTGGAAGCCCAAACTAACCTACGTGGAAAAACCACATGAAGAGGTTCACGTGGAGAGGAACTGAGGCCCCCAGCCGAAAGCCAGCACCAACTGCCAGACATGTGAGTGAGCGAGCCTTCAGATGATTCCTGCCCCAGCCTTTGTGCTCCCAGGCTGAGGCCCAGATATGCATCATGGAACAGAGACAAGTCAACCCCACTGTGCCCTGTCCTAATTCCTGACCCAGAGAATCCATGAGCAGCATAAATGATTACTCTATGCCACAAAGTTTCAGGACAATGTTTTACACAGCTAAAGTTAACAAGAACAAAGACATGCTAAAGGAAAGAAAGTACATAAGTAATGGAATATCACAGAGCATCATTTTAGGTGACAAAGCCCATAATCTGACTGGGATCATATTCTGAAAGTCTTATATAATACTATTTTAAAAATTAGACTTATCCTATTGCCAGTGGAGAACTGTTGAAAGTTTTTAAGTTGGGAAGTGAAATGCTAAAATCTGCATTTTGCAAGATATATCTGAGATTACTGTCAAAGAAAGATTGCAGAAATGAAAGACTTAAAAATAGAAAAAGCCCCTATAATTAGGATGGGTCCCAGTCAAGTAAACTGGTGTCATCCCCTTAGGCTACATGTTTTGTGACCTTTTTCTTCTTTAGGATTGCTTCTGATACTCATTTATACTCAATTTCACTTGTGTTAAAATGTTAGGAAGGCGGATAGGGTGGCTCACACCTGTAATCCCGGCACTTTGGGAGGCTGAAGCAAAAAGATTGCTTGAGCCAAGGAGACCAGCCTAGGCAACAAAGCTAGACTCCATCTCTACAAAAAAAATTTAAAAATTAGCCAGCTATGGTGGTGCATGCCTGTATTCCCAACTACTTGGGAGACTCAGGCAAAAGAATTGGCTGAGTTCAGGAGGTGGAGGCTGTGGTGAGCTGTGATTGTGCCACTGTACTCCAGTCTGGGTGACAGAGTATGACCTTGACTCAAAAAAATAAATAAAAATGTTAGGAGGGAAAACTTATGTCCACACAAAAACCTGACACAATGCTTGCAGCAGCTTTATTCATAACTGCCAAAGTTTGAAAACAACCAAGATGTCCTTCAGTAGGTAAATAGATAAATAAATTGTGTACCTCCTGCTCAGGACTAAAAAGAAAAGAGCTATCAAACCATGAAAAGACATGAACCCTAGATGCAAATTACTAAGTAAAAAAAGCCAATCTAAAAATCATACATACTGTATGAGTCTAACTCTATGACATTCTGGAAAAGAAAAAAATATGGAGACAGTAAAAAGATCAGTAGTTGCCAGAGGTAAGGAGAGGAAGGGATAAATTGACAGGGCACAAAGAATTTTTAAGACAGTGAAACTACTATCTGATATCTGGTGGATGCATGTCATTTTTATAATGACATGTCTAAGCCCATAGAATGTATAACAACAAGAGTAAACCCTAGTGTAAACTATGGACTCTGGATGATTATGATGTGTCAATGTAGGCTCATTGGTTGTAACAAATATATCACTCTGGTATGGAATATTGATCATGGAAGAGACTACAAGTGTGGGGGGAAGGAGAATATGGAAACTGTACTTTGCACTCAGTTTCGCTGTGAATCTAGAAACGCTCTAAAGAAGAAAATCTGTTAAAAAAAATTTAGCAAAAAAAATGTTAGAAGATGTTAGAATACAAAAACATTTTCCTTACTACCCATCTTCTAGCTTCTGGATCTGTTTAAGAATACAAAGCAAGCTGTCTAAAAATTATAGCCATTTGTAACCAATTTTCCATGTGAATAATGCCATCCTTACATAAATAACACCATAATCCTCAATATCTTTGGGGGTTTTTTTGTTTATTAAAATATTCTCATCATTCTCACAACTTGCTTTATAAGAAAATACTATAAATACGAACTCATAAAATAAAATAAATCTATACTAGCAAACTATAGCATTTATAGTTTGGATACTGTAGATCTACACAAGTAGAAAATTTGAGGTGCATGGTCCAAGAAGAGGAAGAAGATGGAACTCAAAAAATAAGGCATCACCTCTGTGATAAAGGAAAAACTGCCCAGATGAATATAAGCAAAGATTTGTAAAGAGATGAAAGATGCTAATGAGAATGTTTCATTCTCATCTTGGCAGAAGACCTTACTTTCCGAGAAAATCAAGAGAAAGAATGCATTGAAAATTGAAAGATCATGGAAAATAGAGACAGGAAGGAATGACTCAACAATGAATCAATCAGATCCTACAGGATCAAGATCAGGAGCAGAGCCCAGCTGGAATTCAATTGTGCAATTTATTGAAGGCTAGTTTTATATAGTTTCATACTATACCTTTCTCTAATGTTAATTATTCAAGAGACGATTAACCAATTTTCACTTAATGCCTGCTTTTGAAAGATGTCATAATTTAAATTCTTTATCAAAAAGAAGCTGGCTGGATATAGAGGCTCATGCCTGTAATCCTGTAATCCCAGCACTTTGAGAAACTGAGGTGAGAGGATTGCCTGAGCCCAGGGGTTCAAGACCAGCCTGGGTACATGGTGAAACTCTGTCTCTACAATAAGTAATTAAAACAAAATAGTAGCTAGGTGAGGTGGCACACACCTGTAGTCCCAGGAAGGCTAAGGCAGAAGGACTGCCTGAGTCCAGCAAGTGGAGGCTACAGTAGCTATGATCGTGCCATTGCACTCCAGCCTGGATGACAGAGTGAGACTCTGACTCAAAATTTTAAAAAACTTAAAAACGACAAAAGGAGTTAAACCATTTGTAAAAGATTTAAGACTTATAATTAATTTTTGAAACCAAAAAAGAAAAAGAAAAAGAAAAATCACTGAAACAAATGGCAAAATAAGATGATTATAGGACCATGTTACAGGTTGAAATTACCCATGCCAGACCTGTCCCTCATTATCAAAGTTAAATAAAAACCAACTGTTGGTATATTTCACAAAATAAAATTTGATAAAAAATAATTCCTACCCAGTGTTTCTTATTCACATTCCTGAATAAACCTCCTATTCCTTAACCAATTTACCTGCATCCAAGAGGTTACAAACTTCTGTTTCCCCTTCTGACAGCGATGCAGTTGAGATAATTGAAGGAGGTATTGTTGGTAAAAGTTGCTTTGAATCATCATCATAAAATAGTATCAGGTCCTGATGGAAAACACGAGAGCATGACAGTTTAAAAACCAAAATTAACCTCATTGAATGGACAATTTATGGAGCTACAAAGTATTTATCTGTGCTAACATCATCATAAACACATTTTAATTTAAGTAACTCACACATAAGTTATCAATACACTTGGATGTCTACTGAGTATAGGATGGTTTTCCACCCTCGGGAATCCCGCTTCTTGCTGAAGACAACTTGTGTAAACCACAATATTTTTGTTTACAGCATTACCTTTACCTACCACCCTTTCAACATCACTAGAAAATACTATCTTAGAGGCCAATTATTTCGTTTTACTGATAATAATAAATCTACATGAATCATTTATTCATATTTAAAATTTTTATCTATTATGGAGTAAAACAGTAGACAGAATAGATAATCAATCCAATCATGCATGTTAAACAATAATCAGCTCATAGTTAATTTGTTTCATTTATATCCCTACCACATCCATCTATTTTACTTTGAAACAAACCCTAGAATAACCCCTTATTTCAATAAGTATCTCCGTCTTAGCCCATTTGGGCTGCTATAACAAAATGCCATCAACCAGCTTCCTTATAAATAACAAATTTATTTCTTAGTTTTGCAGGTTGGCAAGTCCAGGATCAAGGTGCTGGCATATTTAATGTCTGGTGAGAAACCACTTCCTATATAGGCATCTTTTCACTAAAACCTCTCATGGCAGAATGTGGCCAAGGGACTCTACTGGGCGTTTTTAATAAAAGCACTAATCTTATTTATGAGGGTTCTGCCCTCATGATCTAATCACCTCCCAAAGGCCCTACTTCCTAATAGCATTACCTTGGGGGTTAGGATTTCAACATATGCATTTTGGGGGTAAACAAATATTCAGATCATAAAAATCTCTAACTGATAAGAACTCTAACATGATAATCATATCAAACTAATATACTTAATAACTGCTAATGTCATCAATTATCACAATTTCTCATAAATGTCACAAATATGTTTTTCTATGGCTTATTTGAAAGAGGATTCAAATAAAGTCTATAGAGTAGGATTGGTTGGTGTACCTTTTTTCCTGTGAACTGGGGATAATTGTTTCTAGTACTTTATTGAGGTATAATTAATATAGAGTAAAATGCACAAATTTTAAATGTAGAGCTCAGTAACTCCTGTCATATGTGTATACCTATGTAACCACATTTCCTTCAGTCTGGAAAGTTCTTCAAGCTCTTTTCCAGTTGATACCATCCCCTCTACCCTGTGCCACGACCACTATCATCGTTCATGAATTTTGCCTATTCTTGCACTTCATATGAATATAATCATGCACTATGTATACTTTTGTGTCTTGTTCCTATTGCTCAATATAATATTTGTGAAATTCATTCAGGTTTTGTTTTGTATTGGTAGTCCCTCCCTCCCTTCCTACCTGTAAAAGTATTCCATTGTGTCAATGTATCACAAATTGTTTATTCATTCTTTGATGTATGACTATTTGGATTGTTTCCAAATTTCAGCTAGTGTGAATAAAACTGCTATGACCATTCTTGTGCAAATCTTTCTGTGGACAAATGTACTCATTATTCCTGGTTATTACATAGTAGTGGAATTGCTGAGTCAGAGGTATGCTTTTAACTTCATCAGAAACTGCCAAACCATTTTCCAAAGTAATTTGCCACTTTGAAAAATTCAACTTTTGAGATTTGTTATGATCCACATTTAGTTTTAAGAAATAATAGACAGAGCCTGTATATCCTTTACTAAGTTTCTTCCAAAGGTAACATCTTACAAAGTTATATTACAATATCATATCCAAGAAATTGACATTGATACAATCAAGATATAGGACATTTCTATCACAATCACAAAAATTTTTCCTGATGCTCTTTCATAGACCTACAATTCCCCCACCACCCCTACTAATTCCAAATCTGTTCATTTCTATAATTTTGACATTTAAAGAATGTTATGTAAATGGAATCATACCGTATGTAACCGTTTGGAATTTTTTTTTTTCACTTGGTATTAATTCATGGAGACTCATTCAAATTGTTGTGTATTTCAGCTGTTCCTTCCTTTTCATTGATGAATAGTACACATGGTATAGATGTATCATAGCTTAACCCATTAAAGGACATCTGGATTGTTTCTAGATTTTAGCTTTCATGTACAAATAAAGCTGCTGGGACTATTTGTGTAGAGGTTCCTGTATGATATAAATAAATAGTGCAATTGCTGGATCTTATGGCTGTCATATGGGGTTTTTTTGTTTGTTTGATTTTTTTTTTTTTTTTTAGTTCTTCAGCTAAGACAGCAGAAGAGATGATTTATTGTTCACTCGTTACACTCAGCCACAACTCAATACAGAACTAGTCCAGAATGTCACAGGTCCAGGGCCAAGGACCAATAGAGACTGTTTTGTTATGATGAGCAAAGTGGGTCTCTCAGAGGTGGTCTTGACAATCAGATGGCATAGAGTTCTAGATTCCTGGAGAGACAAGTTAGACAGCATGCAGTCCGACAACTTGTACCAGCGTCCCGAGCCTTTGGCATTCCATGCTTCTGCTTCTGTTGCTTCCCTGGGTGCACAAGCTAGAGATTTACTTGGACCTCTGCCTCATCCTTCTTCTTTTGTGCTTCAGCCTGCACATTTGCTTCTTCCTCCACTTGGCCCTCATGGCGCAGAGGTTTCCAAGAAGATGGTGCTAAGGCCGAGAGCACATGTTTTGTTTTATAAGAAACTACTAAACTGTTCTCCAGAGTAGCTGTACCATTTTGCATTCCTACCAGTAATATATGAGTGTTACAATTTCTCCGCATTCTCACCAGCATTTAATGTTGTCAATATTTTTAATTTTAGCCATTTTTAAAGCACATTTAAATTACATTTTCCTAAAGGCTAACAATGTTAACCATCTTTTATGTGCTCAATCACCAAAATCTATATTTACTGAAACAACTGTTCATATCATTTGTCCATTTTCTAATTGAACTGTTTTTAAACTGGTGAGTTTTTACAGTTCTTATTATGCTCCAGATATTAGTCATTTGCCAGATGTGTGGCTTTCAAACATTTTCTCATGGTACATAGCTTCTCTTTTCATTCTTTTAGCAGTCTTCTGCAGAGCAAAAGTTTTTAATTTTGATGAGGTCTGATTTATCAATTTTTTTCCTTTCAGGGATCATGCTTTTGGCCAGTACTAGATCTCAAAGCTATTTCCCCTCTATTTTTCTAAAAGTTTTAGATTTTTCACTTGTCTGTGATTCATTGGGAGTGAATTCCTGTAAAAGCTTTAAGCTGAGATTCATGGTTTTGTCTGAATGTCCAATTGCTCCAGCACTATTTGTTGAAAAGGATAATCTTCCTACATTGAATTTCTTTCACACTTTTGTAAAAAATCAGTTGGCCATATTTGTGTGTGTCTATTTCTGGATACTCTATTTTGTTTCAATGATCCTAGTATCTATCTCTCCACCAATATTACAGTCTCATGATTATTGTAGCTATACATAGGACTTAATATCAGGCAAAAGTGATTATTCCCATTTTATTCTTCCTTTTTAAGATTGCTTTAGCTATTCTAGGGCCTGTGTCTTTCCACATCAATTTTAGAATAAATGTTGTAACCTATACCTTCAAAAAACTTTGCTGGGATTTTAATATGAATGACATTAAACCTATAGAGTAATTAGGGGCATCTTTACTAGGGTATCTTTACTATGTTGAGTCCTCCAATCCATGTATACAGTATGTCTCTTCATTCGTCTTCTTGAATTTCTTTCAACAGTATTTTATAATTTTTTACATATTCTGTACACATTGTGTTACATTTAAGCCAAAGTATTTCACTTTGGAGAAGTGAATGTAAAATAGCATTGTCTATTTCTGCATGTTCACTGTTGGTATGTAGAAATTTAATTGATTTTTGTATTTGATTTTGTATCCCACAACCCTACTGGTTCTATGAAGCTTTTGTTTTTGTTTCTTTGAGATTTTCTATGTAGACAATTATGTCATCTCTAAACAGGGAGAGTTTTATTTTTTCCTTTACATTTTACATGCCTTTTCTTTCTTTTTCTTGCCTTACTGCAGTGACTAGAACTTTTAGTACTATGTTGAGTAAGAGTGATGAGAGGATATGGATATGTACTATCTTCATTCTTGATCTTAGAGGAAAACTATTCATCATTTAGTATGATGTCAACTGTAAGTTTTCTGTAGATGGTCTTTATCAGTTTAAGAAAATTTTCTTCTATTTCTAGTTTGCTGAAAGTTTTATCATAAATGGGTGCTAAATTTTGTCAAATGCTTTTCTGTATCATTGAGATCATCCTATGATTCTTCTTCTTTAGCTTGTTAATATGATAAATTACATTGATTTTCAAATGTTTAACGAGTCTCCCATACTTGGATTAAATCCTACTTAGTTATGGTGTATAATTCTTTTTATATATTGCTAGACTCAATTGGCTAATATTTTGTTGAGGATTTTTGCATCTAGTTTCATGAGAAATACTGATCTGTAGTTTTCTTTTTTGTACTGTCTTTGTCTGAAATTGGTATCAGAGTAATACTCACCTCATAAAATGAATTGGTAAGTGTCTTCTCCTCTTCTGCTTTCTGGAAGACATTGTGTAAAATTCCTGTTAATTTTTCTTTAAATATTTAGTAGAAATCTCCAGGAAAGCCATCTGGGACTGTAGATTTCTTTTTCAGGAAACTTATATTATAAATTCAATTTTTTAAAATGATTATATGACTATTTAGGTTATATTTCATCCTGATTGAGTTTGGGTAATTTATTTTTCTGAAAATTGTTCTATTTCTTCCAAAGTGTCAAATTTATAACCATACAATTGATGGCAGTAACCCTTCTTATCCTTTCATGACTGAAAGAACTGCTGTAGTAGCTCTTGTTTCATCCTGATATTGGTGATTTGTGTTTTCACTTTTTGTCTCTGTCAGTTTTACTAGAGTTTCATCACCTTTCATTATCTTTTAAATT